TACTCGAGGACGAGTAAAGAACTAAGTGTGGGGGAGTTGATACGTTTGTAATTTCCGTGTGTTTAATTACATTTTTAGTTAGTTTTGGTTGTTTAGTATTTCGGAAATTACACACTTTCGGTGTAATAGTTTAGTTTGTTAAATTCTTGTAAATTGTTTAGATTAGGTTTATTCTGAGCTCAAACAGGTCTGACATCACTCAAGGACAGTTGGTGAAACCCAAAAAGTGGAAGGAAGGTGCAAAATCACAAGACAAAAGAAGGAAATCCTGATTTTTGTCTATACTCGGTCGAGTATCTCCTATACTCGATCGAGTATCTGGTTGAAATTTCAAATCGGATCGGATCCGAAAACAAAGGAACATGCAGAGGAAGATTTCCCCACGATCGAGTGTCTATACCCGATCGGGTACACCGACATACTCGATCGGGTATAGCTATGAATTCTACTATAAATTCGATCGAGTATGGATCGAATTCAGCTTTCTGCACATACTCGATCGAGTACATATATATACTCGATCGAGTACCCGACCTGCACCCCAAAAAAGCCTATAAATACACCTCCTTTCCTTCACAACATCATCACCAATTCCTATATACTCTTAAGCTCAGTTTAGAATAGCATTTCTCTATATTTCTTTTAGCATGTTTAGTCTCCAAATGAGGAGCTAAACTTCCATTTCTTGGTTTTGCTCTTGAAGCTTGATTGATTATTAAAGTTGTGAGTTATTTTCTTACTTTCTCCTCTTGATTATTAATTCTTCCCTTAATCTCATTCTATATCATTGTTGGAGGGTGGCTAAGTGACGATTAGTTAACATTCCAACATTGATTATTACTAGAAACGTTCAATGAACCGATGGTTAAACGTTGAAGGTTTCACAAGTAAGTAACTTCGGTTTGTTAATGCACGGTCGTGGTTAATAAACTTAAGAGGGATCAATTTTGTTGGTTAAACCAAAACCGTTGCGTTGAGGTTATCAATCTCAATTGATTTCATCAAGGAGTTAAAGAGATTAAATGCTACTATTATATCGGTATACGGCGTTGTTCTATATTTGATTAATAGTAAGGGTTATTAATGAACGGTCGTTGTTAATAACTACCCTCGATGAACTGGTTATACTCCGCGATTGAGTATTCGAGAGGGGATAAGTTAAGGATATAACAATGATCGACTAAAATATATCAACAAGTGGAAAGTAGCAAGACCAAGTCCCTTTTATTCTTGAATTTAATCCCATATAACTTGTTCATCTTCGTGTTTAAATTAATTAAATCACTCAACAAACAAAACCCCCCTTTTATTTACTATATTCATAAAAAGAAAGTTATTCCTTTCCCTGTGGATACGAACTCTACTACGCTATACTACGTATAAGTGTTGTATTGAATATTATTTTGAGTGCACCTCACGACAAGTGCACGTCAAATATATATATATATTCAACATGATTAGGAGCCCTAGAACAATTTTCATAAAGAGATTCATAATAATGACCAATAAAAAGCACTACATTAAAGAACACTTAGAAATTATATATGTCTATCTAAATATAGAATTTATATGTCTAGCTTCTCCTTTTGACAAATGTTGCTACGCCCACCACCATCATTGCTAAGTGCTAAGAGAATCACAACTTTAATTTCCAGCCACCACTTCTTGTTTTTCTCAAGCAAAGGCAGAAAAGCAACTCATCATATGGCACTTTCTTTATACAAGAATTGCAGCAGCAAAGATGACATATGTGGTTGCAATGATCACAGACCAACATCTTTTTTGCAAAATTAGAATAAACACACATTTGCATGGCATGGGATTAAAAAACAATTACTGGTAGAAGTGAAAACCTTAGGAATGCCAAAACTTGCTAGCATCCCATATATTTGAATGTAGTGTATTTCAATGGCTATGAATTTAGCATTTACACCCGTGGGATAAAAAAGATGTAGAAAACCAAAATGCACTAACCCTCGTACGCATCAACGTGTATTCCTAAAGTGAACAATATTGTTTTTAAACAGCCTTTAACATGAACAAAATTATAAATTGGGACTATTCAAGTTTGTTATTTATTATTGAAATAAAAAACAATCAAACGGTTTTCTATGGGATGGGAACATAATGGAAGTACAGAACTAAATATATAGATAGCAGTACTAAAGCGGTGAGGAAATTCTGAAATTTATATATTGGCCATAGGTTAAAACTCTGCTCTGCTAGCCTATGCTAGACTCCACTTCCAAATGCACTCCTTTGGAAGATGAATATCTAGGGTTTGTAAAAACAGGAGCAAATGATGACTAATTATGATTGAATACATAAGCACAATAAAGTATAATGCATAAAAATTCCAACTGGTATGGAATTTTTTTAAAATACCCCACTACTTGAACCTCACACAGTAGTGGTCTATCACTCAATGCTATAATAATTACAAATTGAAGTTGACCTGGAGCTTTTGGAACCAGAGATGAAGCACTTGTGGGAGATAATTGGAGTTTGTCTCCGAGGTTGGGAAATTTCTTTATGAGATTAGTAAAGCCAAAAGGCTTGGAAGAAAGTCAACCCAACCTGCAGACACGAGGGTGACTGCGCAGTGTCCCAAGCGCTGGACGATTGAGGACCAGGTTCCCTCCCGCTGTCGCCTTTCCAGATCGAGTCCATTGACCTGTAGAGAGGAAGCTGGTGAAGCTCTTGGTTGTGCTTGGCGTTATCCAGAGCCACGGAAACAACCACGACGGAGTTCCGTTTTTCTTGTGATGGGCAATTAATTAAGGATGAAACTCAGATACAGGTGTCGATCATTTTCATAACGTTAATACGGAGTAGTATATGAAAGACCACGCCAGACACGGTTTGACGGGTTTGTGGCGACGGTAGATTAACGGAGATACAGACCGTTGTCTAACGGGATAAGTAAAGATGGATAGACTTACAAAACTATAAGCACACTGTACAAGTCAACTAAGCTATACAATTCCACCAACAAATTTTTTATATCTAAAACAACCCTACCTGTATTCATCTTTATATTTTTGTAAAGATATACATATTCCTATACATATATGTATTTTCTAAAAACTTATAAGCACCAATAATGATTAAGGCATTTTAAGAATGATAAAAATGTTGATGTAACACTAAAGCAATTTACACTTGTACAATTTGTTTTAGTCATTGTACCATTCATCATTAAATTTAAATCTCCACCTTAACTTCGTTAACTCCAACGGTTTCCAACTTTTGAGTTTCCAACATGATGCCTTCACATTTTAATTATTCTATGCACTTAGATTGATTTGATTTCCATTTAATGTTCTAATTGAATTTCTCATTTTTTATTATGCATTTTACCTTATGAAAAAATTTCGAAAATCAGTATTCGATCTATTATAATTATTCTAATTTGTCATGTCTAATTTAATTATTCATCTTATTTTTATTGCTTATTTTTTTATATATATTTGAAAACCTTAGCATTTCAAAAGTAAGTACATTAAGAATAGTGAAAGAGGTTATATAACTTTTGAGGGTATGATGGGAAGATAGTGGAATAATGTGATGGAATGAATGACAAATCCAAAAAAACAAGTGGTAATAGTGTATTATTTTCAAAATTATCGAGGACATGATGGGAAGATTTAGAAATGGGAAGATTTTTTCATTACGAACAAAAAAGGAAAGTGAGAAGCTTATTTTTTGTTACAGAGGGAGTAAGTAGCAGTAATAATATTTTTTGGCCCGAAGCGGGGGCAGTTGCTCCCCATGCCCCCTTAGCTTCTCCACTGTCGATATCGTACTTGAATATGTATTAATTTCTCTTATTATGGAGGCATAATAGATGAATATTTGTCAATGTTGTAAAAGGCGCTAGGCGCTAGTCGCTAGTTGGGCGCCAACCCAGCGCCTAGGCGGGCGCCTAGTCGGGGACTAGTCGGCTGCATAGAAATTGTATTTTTATCTATATTTTTGCACAAATATGATAAGTAATATTATATTTTTGTGTGTATAAAGTACATATATACATATACATTAACAAACATGAATGATATAATTATCACATTTAATCATACGTAGTATATGATAACTAACCAATTAACTTCATTATGTTATAATTAGGTATATATACAAACATATATAGGTTTATCTTAATTTACAACTTCATTTCTTTTATACATGGCTAAAGTTAAAGTACGTATAACGCTTAGAAAATTAAAATTAGGGAAAATCGCACTTCTAGTCCTTGAAATGGTCACCATATTGAAATGTCAAACCCGTGTTCCCCAGTCTGTAAATGTTACCCCTCAATTGTCCAAATTGTCGTAAGCCTGTAAATGTGTTCCTTTGAGAGGTGAAATGTACAATGTGGGCGGGGTTTACAACAATTTGGACAATTAAGGGGTGCCATTTACAATCTCATAAGTACGGGTCTGACATTTCAATATGGTGACTATTTCAGGGACTTAAAATGTGATTTTCCATTAAAATTAAAAAATAAAGTAATGTTGGGCGAGTCTAGACGGCCTAGGCGGTCGATTGGGCTCTCTAGGCAGGCAACTAGGCGCTCTAGGCGGGCAACTAGACGCCATAGGTGGCCGACTAATTCACCTAGACGGCTAACCAATTAGTCAGAGCGCCTAGCGCCTAGGCGGGGACTAGTCGGACGCCTAGAACGATTTTTAGAACAAAGTTATTTGTACAAGTAATTGTGTGCAAATATGAGATTACTATGAACAAAACATGTTGATCATCACCCCCATGAGCCCCAACTACTCGACCCCAAGTAATATCTAGTCAGTCATTTTGTATGTCACGCCCCTTTTTAATCATCCATAATGCGAAAAAATAAGCATAAAGCCAATCTTGTGTGCAATTTCACATAACTTAGATATATTAATCATTAATATTCACACTATGTTAACCTTGTCAAAATAAGGTTGAGCGTGTTATAGAACTAGTTCATTTTATATACTCTGTATTATGGTTGATGCTACAAAAGATCATTTTCAGTCTTTGCCGCATAGAGAAAATCTTTTTCACTAACGCAGGTGTCGTTTTTAACTTTGAAGAATTCAAGTTGATTAAAGTGGGGGCTTGCTTTCGGTTCTCTTTCGAGTCTCCGCCGGGCCTAGGGTTTCACGTCTGCGTTCCTTCTTCCTCCCAATCTAGTGTGAAACTACAATAAAATGCGTAGTACTTATAATTACGAAGCTTTCATGTCGAGGTCAGCGGCGGCCGACATCCCTGGCCGCGCCGACTTTACGTCCTTCGCACCGCTACGGCCATGGCGCGAGTTCTTCGCCCACCGATCGTCGTATTCCCTTCCGTCTTCTCTCGCCGATCTAGCTTCTCGGCTCTGTCGGAAACTCAACTACTTTCGCGTGAACTACGCCCTCGTAATGCTCCTGATACTCTTCCTCAGCCTCCTATGGCGCCCAATGTCTATGATAGTCTTCTTACTCGTCTTCGTCGCTTGGTTTTTACTCTACTTCTTCCATGATGCGCCACTGGTCATCTTCCACCGCACGGTTGACGACAGGGTCGTACTGGGTGCTTTGGGCGTTGTGACGGTGGTCTGCTTGGTTCTGACTCACGTTTGGCTGAATGTTCTTCTGTCTCTTCTAATTGGGGCGGCCGTTGTTGCGTTGCACGCGGCTTTCAGAGTCAATGATGATCTGTTTCTCGACGAAGATGAAGCAGCGGAGAGCGGATTGCTCTCATTTCCTGGTGGGGGGCGTTCCAGTGATGTTCTTCGTGTGTATCCCAAAAATGGATCTCCAATGGTTGGAGTAACGAATCTGTAAATGTAAGCACTCCTTTTTTGTATGTGTGAACTGTTGTGAAGATATATACACCCACAAGAATGTGGTTTTGAATAGAAGCGTGTCATTTTGATCTGCAAGCTACTTGATTCATTTCAGTTCTAAGTTGTAATCTGGAATGAGAATGCATATAAGAAGATGATGATAATAATAAATGTATTTCCCAATGGCTAACATTATTGAGTAGAATCATGATATATAATAATATAATGATACTCGTACATAGAACTGCAACAAACTTTAGAATGAGCAGTATTTAAAACAGGGGTTGAACTGGACGACGACAATATGCTAAAACCATCACGAAATCCTTAGCGGATGAGCCGATTGTGGTTGATACTTTTTCAGGATTGGCCATTTGAAGCCACAAATCAACCAAGTTATTGAGCTGTAATGTTGGGGCTATTGATTGTCCCATACATCTAATTTCAACCTGCACATCAATCAATAAACAACCTTATTTTGCAAGATGGTAATCAAGGACATGTTTGCTTGGATTTATTAGTCTCAAGGCCTAAACAGCCGAATAAACCTATACATATTAAACCAATTTTGAATAGATGTGAACATATTAGTCCAAACCAGACTTGAATAGACGTAACCAGTTCAGACAATTCAAATGAATCACTTCCTAAAACAGAGAGATTTGACTCTACAGGTTGTCTACTGCATCTTGCACATCATTATGCTTCTTATAATGGACTCATTAAAACTACATGATGCAATGAGTTGTTATTCAAATTCCAACCAAATGTATGTACCTCTAGTTTTGAAAAAAGAATAACAGAACCAGAAGGAAAATTGGAAAAGAGATGTTAGATCATTACCTCATCCTCACTCTTCAGATTTAACTTCCTCATCAAATACTTTTGGATATAAGAGACTGGAATGTTCCCATCCCTACAAGCAAAATGAAACAAACCAGTGGTATCATGCTTATAATATAATACGGGTTCCATAAATACTACAAGTATGTAGAACTAAAATCAGTGATTATAGTACATTACAACTATATGATTGCAATATAATAATACAGGAACTTCTGCATCAATAAAATCACAGTTGGAATTGATATCCTTTCAGTTGGGGAGGGAGACTATAAGGCATCAGTTTTGGACCACAAATTGCAAATATTGCACAATGTTGTACACGTTAATTTAATCTTATTACTCAAAGCCTTCTACACTTTAGCTAAGGTTGAGAAGTGTATAGTGGAACTTTTATCCATGTGAAGAAGAAAAGAATATGTGATAAAAGAAGTTAAACCAGCATCAATAAAAAGTCAAATAGATAATATTTTATTTCACATCATTCTGCTTGGCAAACTATTTTTTTAAGAGAATAAGTTTTTTTATGGAATACAACTCCAAGCAATCAGGGAAAGTTTCTTGGTTATGCTACTTTGGAGACATCACATCAGAGGCATCTATCAAGACTAAGTAAACATGTAACCCGAAGTCCGAACCGAACATGCCCAGTAGGTCCTACTGAAGTAGGGTTGGAGAAGGTGAGATACCTCTATGCCTAGGAGGTTGAGGAAACATATAATGATACAGATACAATAAACTATGAACGTATGGCAAATTGGATAGATTATACAAGTGCATGTTCTGCTTCTCTACTCCATCTGCAGACCGCTTGTATGGTGTAAATTTGAAAAAGAAAACAAATGGAAAAAAGCAGGGGAGAATCCCCAAAAACAGGATATTATACAGTCTCGAGAAAAAGAGAGGAAAGCGAGATTAGATCAAGAGCACTCACTTTATTCTCAAGTAGCAAGCAGAAATCTGGGGCAAGGGTGTTTCTCCTTCCCTGAATCAATGGCAGAGAAAATTTAAAACCAAAGATAGCAGAAATAAACTATGTCACTCTTAATAAAATAATCTTTTCATATCGAATATAGTTATTAATCTAAAGAATCACAGAGGTAACACATCGGATTCTCACTGGGTTGCAGAAGCCACTAGCGAAAACCAGATTGGTTTAGCGCTTCTTTCATATAATGCAGTTGTTGCATCAACTACAGCTTGTGGTGAAACACCAAAGTCTCCAAAATTTAAATCTTTCTTTCGAACTCTTCGCGCCTTTTTCGGTTTTTCTGATTCTGGCTGAGCATGATTGCCGTAAGTGTTGTTTTCTTCAGCATTTAATTTGTATCCATTATCTTTGATTTTTCGGGTTTGACCCTCATTGTCAGCAAGAACCACAGGTTCTCCATTGACATAACCTTGAGAAGAAGTAGACCTCGAAGGCTTGGTACTGTTTGCAGCTTCAACCAGGCAAGATAGAGGTTTCCACAAATCTTCTTTCCCTGCATACTGTGTTCCTCTATCAGCCTTTGGTTGGTCTGATGGTTCAGCATGAGAAGAAGAATTATTCTGCAAAAGGAAATAATAAGAAGAAGTTTCAAACACAAACATGATGGCGGAAAAATCCCACTACAAGCAGACTTTACCAGTTCAATAAATTGTTTTTTTTTTCCAAAAAAAAAAAAGAACAGATTTTACCAGTCTTATATTATTGGTGAACTTGTTCAGAGTCTCCGGTGAGCTCTTAGAGCTCTCAGCAAGCCAATCTTCTGTTGAATTTTCCTCATTCTTCGTAGGCTTCTCAATGTAAAAACTGGAACCACCTCGCATTGGTTTTCGTGCTACGGATTTCGACCTTCTTCCTGTCATCCCCCCAGTTTTAGTAGAAGAAACTCTAGGTGTGCTCACCACTAATGAAGAAAGTGATCTCTCCTTTCTCCTCGCTGTTGGCATTGTTGTAACTGATGGTACAACAATTTCAATTTCAGGTGTCTTGTTCACTTTTTGCCTCTTGTAAGGGAAGATCTTTGCTCTCACATCTTGCAAATTATGATCCGCTCTGGAAACACCATAACAACCTTTTCTTACACCAGTACTTGTAATAATTCAGTTTTACTGCCTCCATTCCATTATTAGAGTCACATCCACTAATTCTTTCGCATAACACAGCTCTCTTTTAATATTTATCACATTTACTTTCGTTTTAATACTTGGTAAAACTTTTAATGTAGTTTCTAAATATGTAAACTTTAATTATTAAACCTAATTAAAATACTTTGCGGGGAGAATTAAAATGGAGCGAAAGAAAATGGAATGTAGGGAGTTAAACACAAGATACTGCACCAGATGTTTTTCCCTGGGGATTATTGCAGATCACATTGGATCATAAAGCTCAACAGCAAGTACAACTTAGATCCTATGTCTTGTTTATTTAAGGAACTATAGAAAATATTCTAAAAACTCAGGCCAAGTGGTGCCTGGGAAGCCTGATTTCACCCCAGTCAGTGAAAAAAAATAGCAGGCTGTTTAGGTTTCCTACAAGGCCAGCTGGCTGTCAGACTAATTTGGCTCGCCACCCCCATATTTATTCATAATTGACATCATCTGATCATTCATGAACCTACATCTATGAAATGGTCATTATTTTAGAATAAAATTATAACTCTTGGAAGTATACGAGCTACTTCAATGACAAAAGAACATACATTTTTATCCTACTTCTATTTCCTATAAACGAAAAATGCTAGCAAGTTGCACATAGGACTATGGTTAACAATTTAAGGAATAAAATATGGATATTTTTATTGGGATGCAAAGAAAATGCACTGAACTATGTAAAGAGTGCAATCTCATATATGGTTTTTAATTAAAACCTTTCTTCTTTTAGATCCTTAACCATTGCCCTTATGATATTTGTTAGCAAGACCTTTCTATTTATTATTATATAATTTCTTACAACAACAAACAACTTTCAAGAAGTATATGAACTATTTTCATTACAACAACAACATCCAAGTCTTATTCCCAAAAGAGTTGCTAACATGAATAGACATATGATATCAGAGTTAAAAAACAATAAATAGAGAAAGAGAGATGAACTATATTCATTACCAAAAAAAGAAAAAACAAAAAGTCATCAATTTTTATTTATTTATTAATTTAAAAAAGAGGCCAAGGTGGCAGCTAGGGTGAGTAAGCCCTAGATGGCAGGCCACCAGTCCACCACCTGACTAGCACCTATAAATTTTTAGAGTTGTAGCTATAGAGAAAGATACATTCCCTATTAGTGGGGAAGATGCAGGGGAAGTGCCTTAGTTCTCCAGGATTATTATTATTCTTGGTATTTTTTCTTAATAGATTTATACAAATGGGGACTACAAATTCTGGTGATTTCTTCACCTTTGCAGTTCATTTGTATATGCTCTTGCAGCAGATAAGAAATCAATAAAAAAATCACAGCTTATAATGCATGGAGTAAGCATTTTATCAGACTAAATTGGAGTACTTGAGCATTCATTAGCATGTAAGGTGAAAAAAGAGGTAGCAGCTTAGAGTGTTGTAGGAACTGTCTGACCTCAGTTTCTCGACTGGGACACATCCTAAATCAATGTTACATATTGGGCAACATTCAGTCTCCTCATCCTGAAGCTTCTTGTAAATGCATTTCCTGCAAACTGATGCATGGAGTAATAGACCATCAACACGGTTTCTTATCTTCAAGGTAGAAAACCATAGTTACAAATGGCAGTTCATAATAAAAAGAAAAAAATGTATGCAGTCATCTAGAGCACACCTTTCTGACAAAGGAATATATGAAGATGGAATGCCATCAAAGAATGACTTGTTGCATAGGATATCAATTAGCAAAGTGACTGAGTGGGATTAAGTCGTTAGAAATTCAGAATAATATAATAACGATAAAAAGCTGGAAATGTCCTCCGCAGAACTAATTTAGCTTCCGCTTTGTTCAAGCATCAAACAGAAACGAGAAATTTCAAGTAAAAAACACACAAGTACAGCTCAACAGGAAAACGAAGCATACATCTTAAAAACCCAAATTTCCGAGCTAGACTTTTGTGGGGTCTTTAATTTGAAGCAGTTATTAATGTCTTAATGATGTATATCGCACTAATCAAATTAACACGAAGCAGAGAAACCGATTCATAAACTTAGCATAACTCTCACAGCTGGCAGCTATAACTCCGAGAACGGGAACGAGATTCGAATGAAACAGAATCAAGTAGATCAGCAAAACCACAAAACAGCAATCAAGCAGCACCACAAGCCAAACAAAACAAACGCGATTCGGAACTCGAAGATAAAGCCAGGGAACGGAATTCGGGGCGGCTAGAGTGACTCACACGTATGAAGGCATTCGGAAATAGTAGTGGCATCTCTGAAGAGCTTATTGCAAAGAGGGCATGTCATGCATGCCGCAATTGCCTCCCTCCTCACCTTCACCACTAGATTCGGCATATCTCCCAGCTCCTCCCGGTATTGCCTCTCTGCCAGCACGCTCTCGCCTCTATTCCGGAAACCTCTCAGAAGACAACGTCGGGCTACTCAGGCGGCGGTGCATGTAAGAGCGACGGCGCATGAGACATGGGATTTACGTCCACCCCTACCCGTTCATCTGCATTATACTCGCAGGAAACCCGCAATTAACGAGCTATACAATGAGACGTACGAACAGATTCGAGCGTGGACCGATTGGGAACCGGAAATCAGCGGGTTAAGCTCTGGGTCGCGCGGATTCGGGAAGAAGAACAGCGGTAGTTGGTCATGGGGTCGGGTCGGGGGAAGAGATGATCTGTGAGATAGTGTATGTGGAGTTTTGGGAGTCCCAATCGAGAGAAGGTATTGTTCAAACTGGCATGAACGGGAAGACACAGATTCTTGGCTTTATGCACTTTCTTACCTTCCTCCCTTTTATATATAAATAAAAATAAATACGCCATATAATACAGAGTAGAATATTGTAATGATGATAAATCTCCTATAAGGAATACTACCTCCTTCCCATTTATATTGGCACGGAAGAGGGTCACACGGTTATTAAGAAAAGTGGGTTTGTGTGGTTGATATTAAATGATAAAATAAGAATAAAGTATGAATGATTTAGAACCACACAAACTTTGCCAAATATGGTATGGGACAATTTAAGTGAAACTTCCCGAAAAAGTAAAGCTAGAGATGGCAATTTTGGCCGACCCGTTGGATACCCGCACCGAACCGATTTGGTCAAACTGGGGAAAACCGGTTTGACTGGGGAATGGGTACGGGGCGGGGAATACCCGAATTTTTTAAATGGTTAATGGTGCGGTTATGGTTCTATACTAATCCGCCCCGTTATCCGCCCCGAAACCACCCCGTTCACTAATGGTGCGGGTACCCGCACCGTTACCCGATCCCGGCGATCCGTAACATTATTAATGAATTATAACTTTTTATATATAAGAATAATAAGTATATATGCTAAATTGTGTATACTAAATAGTATATACGGAGTATAATATAAATAATGCTAAAAAGTAAACTATGAGTACTTTTTTAGGTCTAAAACTAAATATAGGCCTAAACTTGATTTTGGATTTTGGATTCTCGGATGATTACTATTTTTTATTATGTTACAAGAGATATTAGGTGTATGTCATACTAATGAATTTAGGTCAGTTTACTTAATTGCTTAAATATTTACTTTTGTATGTTTTAGGGTGTTTTGAATATATAAATAACAAGTAGGATTAGAAGTTGGTTATTTGTTTTAAAAAAAATTGGTTATCTGGTATCATTTGGGGAAACGGTTACCCGTGGATAAACCGATTCCCCGTTGGGGCGGGTACGGTTCAAATAAAAATTACCCGAACGGGTAATGGGGCGGTTTTGGGGCAAACATTTATCCAACGGGGCGGTTTCTGTTTTATGTGTACCCGTCCCCGATCCGCCCCGTTGCCATCACTAGGTAAAACGAGACAATATAAATGGGACGGGGGAGTAGGTCCCAACTAGGTTCTCATTCAAAATTGATAAAGATTATTTAGATAATTGTTAAATACTTTAACTCATACATAATACTTGTATATATTTTGACAAATAGATTTGAGGAGTATATCAAATGTTTTTACTTGGACTGAAGTTTTCTGATTTTCTCTGGTCTTATCTAGTTTGACAAATGTCTGGTCTGTGTGTATTTTAAAAACTGTCTAAATTCGGTCCGGTCCGGTCTGATCTGGTCTGGGACAAAAAACAGTCCAAGTAAAAACATTCAAAATATAATGGGGTAAATCATGATAATTGTGATGTTATACATGTACTCCGTATTATTTTTAATATTTAATAATTCAAAGTGTGTACTTAAAAGTGTGTTTTTATGTGTTGAAAACTGGACCAGAAAAAAATTTGGTCAAATGATCAATTCACAGATCACCTCAAACTCAGCTGGTAAATCTCATCAATATTAAAGATATGCAAGTTTTGACACGATTTTCATTAGAGATATTACCCAAAATGGGACTAAAAAAGTTTAAAAATTCTAAAATAGGACTTCCATGTTTTTATTCCCAAAATAGGACTAATTACTGCCATGTTTTGGCAGTACCAGACTTCAAACATGACAGTATTTTCCAAATTTGGCAGTAATTAGTCCTATTTTGGGAATAAAAACATGACAGTCCTATTTTGGAATTTTCGAACTTTTTTAGTCCCATTTCAGGAACTTTCCCTCTATCATTATGAGTTATTCGGGAACAACTTCTATATAATACGGAGTATACTAGCTATTTGATTTAATAGTGTTTGAAATAGTAAGTTGTACATCTGCAAAATACGGAGTAGTTTTTTTCTAAAATAAATACGGAGTACATAAACATGTCACATATATTTTCTTGAAATTGGGATTGACATTTTAATAGATTAACATTGCTGAAAAAAATGCAACAAAGTTTTACACGTGATCTTAAATCGGGGTTTTCTCCAAATCACCTAGATTTTCATGTTTTACATTTTTGAGGTTTGATTTTCAGGTTCTCCAGTTATCAACCATTCCGAGGTTCATCATTATCACACAACTCTAGTTTTTGTTCTAGCTGGTCACCAAATGCCGAGCCGGTTAATTAAAAACTAAAAAGTGAGTATGCACCGCTTTTTAAGTACTACCTCCGTCCCAAAATATTCTTTCAATGTAAAGTGACACGCGGATTAAGAAAATGAAAATTATGTGGTAGACAGTTGTGCAGAGGAGAGAGAAATGCTGTGAACCAATGAACCACAAATTCTTTGACCAAAAGGGAAAGTGAAGTTCTTTCTGGGACGGACGAATCGAGAAAGTTTGAAGTAAATTTAGGGACGGAGGGAGTATTTTTTTTTTTTATCTTTTTTGGGCAAAAGGAAAATTTAGACAGAACTACAAATTATGTACGATTAAATGGTGCATAGCCATGCTTAATATAAGATAAAAAAAAAAAATACAACTGAGGAATATTGAAAAGCTTTATCCTTTGGTTATGATATGCTTGAGGAATACAACAGCCAGTCAGCCACCCCATAGAAAGCGAAGTAGCCAGCTATATATTCTACATTGATATGGAAGATCCTGCTGTTTTTGCTACTCTGATCTAGTCTAGAATCAGTTGAGCATCCATTTTTCAAATTTACAGTTTCATTTGAAAGGTGTGTCATAGGCAGAGTTAGGGGGTCAAGCTAGGTCCTGTCTCATTCCAAATTTTAAAAACATTTTAAATATTAGTGCAAAAATTTCTATGTCAATGTATAACTGACTTTGTGCATATATAAGTGTATAGCTCGGTTACATGCATAAGTGCATAACAGACCGACCACTATATTGATTGCTATTAAGTGTTTGAGTTTTGAAAAAGAAAATGAAGGTGCTAATATTTAAAATGTTTTTAAAATTTGGAATGAGACAGGACCTAGCTTGACCCCCTAACTCTGCCTATGACACACCTTTCAAATGAAACTGTAAATTTGAAAAATGGATGCTCAACTGATTCTAGACTAGATCAGAGTAGCAAAAACAGCAGGATCTTCCATATCAATGTAGAATATATAGCTGGCTACTTCGCTTTCTATGGGGTGGCTGACTGGCTGTTGTATTCCTCAAGCATATCATAACCAAAGGATAAAGCTTTTCAATATGAATGTCAACCAAGCTAAGGCTTGCTATTTCTTCTTTATCCTCATAGCATCATAGTTCAGTGACACACCACGAGCCTAGCTAGCCTTTGAACACTTTTCCTTCAGTTCCCCCAACAATGCCTTCTCCAGTTCTGATCGATTTCTTAGATGTAGTAGAGGGAAAGCTAGCCTCAATGTCAGGAATTCAAAGATAGAATGATATATGTCTTGACTAGTTGACTTCTATACTTTGTCTTAGCAAAACTATTCAAGGAGTATATGACTTGACTTATAGCACTACATGCATGTTTGGTAGGCATAAATGCCTACTTTCTAGCTTTTGTATTGTTTAAAAATTCTCTAACAGTTTCAAATTGAATGTTTGGCATGCCAATTTTTTTTACAGTGAGTAGCAAAAGTGTGTAGCTTTTAGCATTAATTAATCTCAAGAGCTTGCATGCCAAACATAACTAAATCAAATAGTCAGTTTTTTTATCAAACAACTACCACATTTTCTTTTAAGATTTTTTCAGTCATTAAAAGCTGACAGTTACTAAAAGCTTACCGTTACTAAAAAACTTATACAAATGTCTTTTCGGCTTGTCATGTATTTAAGGAGTATATGACTTATTAGTTCTTTGGGCTTATTAGTTTCTTGGAGTTCTCTAGGAGTAAACAAAAATTAAATTGCAAGAATTATGAGAAAAAGTTTTAAATTCCCATCATAGGAGTAATGAGTATTCTTTATGCCAATTCTACCCTTAACATACTTTAATATTAAAAAATTGTGGTTTTATTTATAAAAATCATAAAAGTAAAAAACTAGGCTGACATCTTCTGCCACTGCGCGCCGCCGACACCATCTAGGACCAATACTATTGACGATGAGCAAAAAAATGTCAATATTTTTCTCCAAATGCGAACTTCAACCAATAACGTTATCTTAAATTCTTAATGATATTGTTGGAAAATGTGATAATAAATTGCATTAAATGGTCATTTTAGGGCAATTTTTTGAGTGGGGTCCACTTCCGATTTGGATCGGGTCAAAGTGGTTTCGGATTTTTCTTGCTTACGGCTACAATTCGATATATGGTACGCTCAAAATGGATAACGGGTGAATGGGAAATTGATTCTCGAAGTTCACTCGTTGAAATGGAGAAAAACTAGGAAAAATGTGAGTTTCTAGTGTGGTTTTTTCCCACACGGGAAAACCCAAGAGAATTTGAACCCTTTATATAGGGAAACCCGCCTAAGGAGTTAATATTCCTGAAGGGAAAGGCTCTCTCTCGCGCGCGGGGGTAGGGGGTGCGAATCAAATCCCGAAACCGGAGAACAAAATGCGCGAATTGCGTGCGCGGGCGACCTACGGACACGAATGTCGTCCGAAAATCTTATCTTCTAAAGATAACTTTAAGTTTATTTTTGTTCTTCCGTTACATTCCTATTTTATTTTTTGCTCCATACTGAACTGAAATGTTGCAGTATAAATGTCCAACGTTCATGGCCTTAATGCACACGAAATGAACTGTTTTTGGCTGGAATCAATGCCCAACGTTTAGGACATTGTAGTCCAACGTTCATGAGACTTAAACAGCCATTAACACACCCAAATCCTCCTCAATAAAAGGCTGGTAGCTGCTTTGCAAACATACAAAATTTCACAAATGTACTGCACCTCTCTTTAGCTCGAAAGAACCCTCCAGCCATCTCTGAAAATTTCTTCTATGTTCCGACTTTGCACTAATATTTAAAATGTTTTTAAAATTTGGAATGAGACAGGACCTAGCTTGACCCCCTAACTCTGCCTATGACACA